TTTATTTTACTGAATTAACCTCAGAAAATTGTTTGTTTGTTTGTTTGTTTGTTAAGTGTAAATTGTTGCTACATATTGGATGGATTTTTGTGAATTGTTGACATTGATAGACATAGGGATTCCTTTTTAGGACTACTTAGAACTACTTCTTTAAATTTTTTTTACAACTTTTCTTCACAAACTGCTCCTTAACTATGGTTAAACTATGAAAAACATTTACCCCAAGTATAGGACTGGGCAATAAATCACATTTTCATGGAGACTGAGAATCAGAAAGCCATTTAATATAATATATTTTTAAAGAAACAAAAAACTGAGATGGATTAATATGAAGGAAAAAATATCTTCCTCAAATTTCCCAGCCCTAGATATATTCCACCAACAAAATAATTATTAGAAAAACATGAAAACCTGTCATATGCACTTAAAAGTCAACTTCAGTGGACCTTTGAGAGACTACCAATGCACAACCATAACAAACCTCAAACTCTTAACTGTCAAGCAGCTAAATACAGATCATGAGAACTCTTAAAATAGTCCGAAACAATTCTCTTGATGCCCATTTTAGGGAGCCTGGAGTTGGCAGCAATGAAGTTATTTCCTTAGCAATACTATTCTTAAGAGCCGCTGAAACAATAGTGAGGATGATAAGATATAATAAGGTATGGTCTATGGAAAATGAGCTCATAAGACAAATGGGACACCAAAATACGCAGGGTAGGCTATATCCATCATAACAGAGCAACATGATGAGAACCAAAAATATAAGTTGTTTTATTACATGAAGAGGATGTCTGCAGCAGATGCAAAAAGACACTTTACATTAAGCTTTGAAGAGATGAAAAATATCTTGGCTAAGAGATATTTTGACAACCAAACATGGAGATAATCATAGCTTTGATCTGAAAAACATCATTGCTCTCCTCCACATCCGACAGAGGAAAAAAAGCTTAAAAGGGAAAGAGTATTTTTAATTTATGATTTGCAAAGGCTTTTATCATATAATCAAAAAATCAACAATGCATTTAAAGATGGTATATCTTTTGTCTTGTTCTTAAAGGGGAAAATCCAAATGCTTTCTGTCAACGTTCAGCTTCAATGGCTGTGGAGGCACTTTTGGCGGAGACATAAATACCTTCTTTCAAATTGTAGGTTTGTTAATCGATTATCCAGATAACTTACATAGTCTGATCCACCAACAAGGTCAGACTACCAGAACCTAAAACTGGGATTACATGAGGAAGAGAATCTAGTAGAAAAACAAATCCAACTGAAATTGGCTGACAGAAGCAATTCACTAAAAAAAAAAAAAAAAAAAGAGACACTTTTCAAGATTTTGCCCAAGATACTCACCCTGGCAACTCAGTGACTATAACCATGATTAAGAATATTCCTGAGTTCAGTGAAGAACTAGGGCATGTACAGCAGTTAGTTTGTTATCCAATAACACACTTTGCTAATCTGGTAACTCTGCCATAGGTGACCACTTGAAATGTTGTGTATCATTAGTGCATTTGATATAATGAATACTCAGACACACTACTATTATGCCTTTGTGTGTCCTCTTGCCCTGTATATTAAATAATGCAGTAATGGCTGTAACTGCTACTTTCAGAGGCAGGAGACAGATTGTATAATCTCAGTGTCTGTGTTCGACAATGAGCTCAGTGTTAGCCGCATCACACAGACTCAGGTAAAGGGGACATTAGTGATTTATTAACATCATGGTTTAAGCCAGGCTGAATATTATAGTCTCATGCAACATCTCATGCAACGTCTCATGCATGTCTTTACTGGAAAATAAATGACTTTAATGAATGAGCAAACAGCACATATACCAACCAGAGCAATGTTATAGGGCCTAAAGGTTAGAAGGAGCATTGTTGTAGTATTGGCCACCTCAAAAGTTGTGACTATCCTTTATCATATCAACTGATTGTGTGCATCTTAAGCTGAATATAATAAGGGCCATAATAAGCACCAGTGGTAAAACCATTTGATTTGAAGTCAAACTTGTGTTATTTCACATTCTAGTTTTTAAATAAATATTTTTGGACAATATTTTTCATTTCATTTTGGTTTAATTTGAGAGCAATATAAAGTGCACATAATAATGAGATACAGATTCTGATACGTGAGCGATAATAAAACTGTCAACATGGATCTTGGCTTAAAGATAATCATCATGAAAATCCATTCCTTCTCTACGCCATTTTTTGAAAGCTGCACCGTAACTGGGTCTGCTCACTGTGAAATTAAACTGGTTGAGTTTGCCCAGTTTTTTGGCTTCACTTGGCTGATGTCACAACCGCACAAATATGGAAAAGTCTTCATATTGTTGCTGCTATAGCCACGGCCGTTTTAACACGGGAGAGAGAAATTTCCACTTGTCCGCCCCACATTCCAGACCTCTTGGAGAACAGCACGGCCTTCCTACCTTCACTCTCCTGGAGCCTCTGTCGGGTGGCCCATATTACCACACCTTTTTCAGATTTGTCCAGACAGTGAAGAGTTAGAGACAGGTGACTGTAAAATGCTTCCACAATGTATGCGCACCAAATGGAAAACAGAATTGAGGTATTTGAGGAATTCACTGTGTCGCTCCTGACTTATTTGACACCAAAGCTCCAAAACATGACGCAGAGCAGAGAAATGAGGGCAGTGAGGGAGAGCTGAGCTGGTGGCTGGCCAAAAATCTGACTTCACACGGTGTCATAGGGGAAGTCACTTGGCTCCAAAAAGGAGCAGCTCTACAAACCTTAATTAGATCAAGTTTGTTTATCGTCCAAAGATGCACACACACAATACTATTGGGGCAAACTGCATTAACCATCATCAGGAGCAAGGACACACAGTGTCCAGTCAACAACTCCACACTGATTTATGTTCCCTGCCTGGCTTCCATTTTGGCTCCTCTGCAGCACAAATTCATATCAGACTCTCAATGAACTTCCTCATCGAAACCCAAAAACCTAAGGACATGCATAAGCTTTTCCCGAACAAATGGTTAATAAGATTTTAAAAATCAAAACAAATGAGGATATAAGCCAAAATATGATGGGATAGATACACAAGGAATTAAGATAAGATTTTTAAGATAAGATTTGATATCATAGTCATTATAACACTCATACAACAAGTGGGCAAAGTAAACTACAACAGTGCATTTAAATTTGTAAAAGTGGTACTCTCTAGTAATTGAATAAAATATTATTATTAAATTATTAAAATTATTATTATTATTATTGAATTGAATGAATACAATTGCCCATTTCACTTGATAGGTAAAATATTAACTTCTGACACTAAAAGCATAGCTATTATACAGCCACTTTTTTCAACTTTTGTACATACTTTCTTAAAGCATTTCTTTCTAGTTTAGTGACAAACTTTTTATAGAAAACTCTATATTTTATAGCAAATATGCATGTATCTTATATAAGTATAAATATAACAAACCACCTGTTAAATTATCCTGACTAAACTTACATGGTATTGTTTAATTAAACTTACCCTTACATTGTTTTCTTTTTGCCTTAACTCTGTGATAGTTAATGCCAGTACACTGGTTGTGTGATTTCTGAGCTTCTAGTCCTAATAGAGTGATGTAGAGGAAAAAGTGCATCAGTTGGACCCACTGAGGCCCGGTCTGATGTAGACTGTGTGGCTCCGGGTCTCACCACAGCTGATCTGATACAGCAGCAGCTCATGCCAACCAGACGCAGGCAGGAGAGGCATACATAAGAGACATTTATACGCATGTAATGAGCCATGCTGCACTAATTAAAGTGTAATATAGGATAGCATTTTCCACAGAGGCACAGGAGGTTCAACCCACCTATTTAAATTGGTCTTAAAGACACTAGGGAAACCAGAAAACGTCACTTTATTTACTACTTTTGGTGTTTGCTTCACTAACACAGGCCTAAAGTTTGTCTTTGACTATTAATACTCCCTCAGAGAGGGGTCAAGAAGTTAAAACAGCAGTTAACATTCCTGTAGTATTGGTAATATTTTCATTGCAGCATATTTCTCCAATAAGTAGCATTAATTCAGTTGACAGTGTTTCTGAAATGTATATTGCACCATCACATTGTACCATGACAGCTGATTTATAGTCTATAAGCTTATAGAAACTCGTTCATTGCATGATTTGAAAGAATAGGTTAAAGCATTTTAAGTCATGTAAAACTACATGTGTTTTTTGTTTGTTTGTTTGTTTGTTTTTTAAATTTTGTATTTTATAACTCTGATCAGCCAGCTCAAAAATAAAAGGAGACAGTGCAAAGGCTAGTGTTGTATTTACTGAGAATGCATTAATAGCTAAATAAACCCCAATAGAGGCCATGTTTGTTTATTTTTCCCACATGCAAACAAGGCTATTTAAAATATTTGTGCCATAAGGCCATAACAGGGATATGCCTAAACTCTGGGACAAATTTGGGTGTAAAATGTAATCAAATTCAGCAAAAATAAGCATACATTTAAATTTTTGAATTAAGGTTTTTAACCAAAGGAAAACTGACCAAACAAATCTAAAGATAAATAAATAAATACATACTTTCAGTGTTTTTTTCTTGGCTGTAATACTGCAATACACCACTAGGAGTCAATTTTTGAAAGTAGAAACTCTACCCAATAGTCTAATAGGCCTACAGCATGGAGTTACTTTGCAGAGGTGTAGATTTTTAAAGGATGAAATTCTATCTTTACAGGGCTTTTTTTGGAATAACAGTTGGTCTTCTTTAGGCCTTACAGAGAATTGTAGGCTATTTTAGTATAGGAGAAGCAATTGCTGTCAAGGGCCAATCTCTCTAATTGGCCTAAGAGCATGTCAATTAAGATTTAAAGAAAAAAATAGTCTAATACATGTTACTGAATGAAAAAGGTTGAGCGCAATGAATTAAACGGTGTATCCTGAGGTCACATTGTTTAGCTATTATTCATACGATGGTGGAGGCCTCACTAAATAAAACCATTGCTGCAGTAGTGGCACTCACCGACCCTGAAGCCCTGTCCAATGAGCGTATCCGCCCCCTGTCCGTTCTCCGCTATCAACGTGGTGTTGTTGCCCTGCTCGCACGTATCCTGACAGTGTCCTTTGAGGCAGATCCGTTTGCACACCAGAGGAGCGATGACCACCTTAAAGCGCTCCCGGGCCGAGGCGCGCTCCGTGCACCACACCAGCCTGTGAACGCTCAGCCACAGGACCAGCAGATGGACCGGGATCACTGAGGGCATCCTGGCATCCTTTCACTGCCCGTCACCAACTCCCGGGACATCCAAACCAGCTGCGTCTGCTTTGAGATCCCAGGCACAAGTTTGACGGCGGAAAAACACAAGTCCTCCCACGAATATTCTCACCAAAAAGACAAATCACTTTCCCTGCGTGTCCAAGAGGTCCGCGTGTAAAATAAAAACCTCTGCCATCTTTGGAAGGTCTCTGTCGCCTGGTTTTGTCGGTTAGCGCTGTGGTCGTCCTCGCTTCAGCCGCGCTCCTCTCGCCTGTTGCTTTGTGGAGTTTGGAGACTTTGGATAGAGTGCGCATTGGGCTTGGAGAGAGACAGAGAAGGGAGGAGAGAGTGGCGAAGGAGACGGGTGAGCCAGCCCTCTCTGGAGAGTGCTGGCCCGGGGCCAGTCAGGCGGCGCAGGAGCAAAGCGAAAAGTGGTTTCCTTGTTGGTTATTTCTCCCAACACCTCCTCCTCCTTTTCCCAATACAGACCCCTCTGCAAACTACAGCTGTGTGCGCTCGCTGCTCAGTAAATGACACTTAAATATCATTTATGTCCATGCACCTTTCATTTGACAGGCTAATCGTTTTACTAGATCCCTTTTAGCCTATATTAAAGTCAGTGGTGTTTTCCTATATTTAGAGCTTTTATTGTGCAGAAGTACCCGAAGGATTTACTATAGGACATATTCAATAAGTGAACTGAATATAATAGTACGTGAAGAAACTTAAAATAATTCACTGATAAATTATTAGGTTTAATTACAACCTAATGCACAACTCGTTTTTGTTTTTACTCCAAATTGTTGGAACCAAATGTCCAAAGGGACAGAGGGACAAAAGCTGAAGAATTTTAGACCAAGTCATTTCCTGTTTTAAAAGTGAACGTGTTTGCTTTGAATCATTCAGGAAATCACTGCATTGGCTCCTGTGGTTCACAGGCTGCACATTTCTACAGGACTGTCAACAACAAGCATGAGACACAGTTACTCCCCTGAAAGTAGCCATGTCCAAATAAGTCATAATAAGGCAATAAACCATTCCATGTTTTATGAAATGCACATGGCACTACAATAATCATTTAAGAGGGAACACTGCGTTATAGAAGATTGTATTTACTACAACAGTTTCTGTTTGAACAGGTCCACATCCTCCTCAGTAAATAGGCTAATTCTACTTAATGCCAGACGATGCAATATGTCTCCTAAGATCAAACATAAAGTTGAGCAATAAAAAAAACAAGAATGAGACAGGAAAGAACAGGTACTGCACAGTTTAGTGTTAAATATCTCATTTTAAATTTGAATGTGTTGTGTAACAGGTATAAACATGCTCTGTAAACTATAGAGGAAAACATTATAGCTTAATATGAAGCTCTGTATGAAACAAACTATTTATTCTGCTCTCCCTTTGTGCAACACATCTACATGAGACCAGCCACTGCAAACAAGTTTCATATAATGATGCTCTGGCAAAGTTGTTTAGTCTTCACAAAACTTACAGTGTTATACCTTATTCCTACAACTTAATAGTTTAATGCACTGCTAAAGACATCATGTTTGTTAATTACGACACAATTATGAAGTTCACAGTATTGAAGCATAAGAACAGGGTGGACGTGGAGTGAGTCTTACTACATAATCCGTGCTTCCAGAGTGTCCTCCTGTGGATGTCTCTCTCCGGCCCCTCCCCTTCTCCTCTCACTGTGGAAAAACATGCCTAAGTGGGTCGGGGGCAAATTGACTAAATAACAGTGAAAGTAAGTCTGTATCTTACTGTTAAATCTGCAGAGTTGCTCCATGTTTCCATGTCTCCATGTTTTCAGGAGAAGTTTCAGAACTTACAACTAAATCAGCAAAATGTGATATTGTTAGGGCTGTAGTTTTTTTTGTAAATTTTTTTATAAACATTTCTGTCCAGATTGTTTTTGTCACAGCTTTAAAATGATGAGGGCAGCGCAAATAGTACCTTTAGCTCAGCTGTCATTAGGGAGCATTGAGAGAGTAGTTAAGTGTTATTTTGGACCTGTCTTGGGGCGTGTCTGCAGCACCTACACAATTTGTTTGGCAATGCACTGATGTGGAAACTCCTCTGCTTGTGGCTTTGTCTCCTGCCAGAGCACAACAAAATGCACTTTAAGAACCTGAGCACTGCAGGCAAAAAAATAAGAATAGATACCAGATTTAGGCAACAAGGCTGTTTCCAAGTTCAGATGTTTGGCATCAACTTAACCAATGTGTTAATAGACTGACAAAGATCACACAGGGATTATTTGTGTTCAAAACAGAAAAATTTGCTGAAACGAGTCTAAAAAGGTTATTAACACACTGAGAGACTGTAACAAAGAGAACACGGTATTTAATAGTGAAGCATATAAAAAAGATACATTTCACATAAACAGACTGAGAAATGATGGAACATGCAGCACTGCAGACAAGACAGAGAAGTCACAACATACATTAATAATCTACAGTTCAGTGCCATTTGTAGATTTTAAGTTCTACTAAGTGATTATGAAAGAGTTACTGTATATATTAACGCCTAAAAAGAATGTTTTGACCACATATATAAAATACATTAATATTATTAACAGCCACTGATGTTTAGGAAGTTATGTTTACGTAGTTAATAACACACAAAAGTAGACTACTGTGGAATGTGAAAATGATTAAAAATAAGATGATGTGAATAGTTAGTTCAGAAAACAAAAATAGCACATTAAAAGTGCCATAATCTTTTGTTCTAATCTTCCCTTATGAAGCAAGTTAAAAGATGCAATTAAGTATTTAGGGACATCTAGTGGTGAGGCTGATTAATACAACCATCACAAGTAACCCATTGTGGTTACTGTGAAATAACAACTCTCTCCAAAACTACATAAACAAAGGGTATTAGCACTCCATTTGTATAGATTTTAGATAGATTCCTACATGTGCAAATATGAAATATTTGGCTAAAACCATTGTGCATTTACAACCCTGTAACAGACGAGTGCATTATCAGGCACTTAATACTAAGGATTTAAAAAGGTACTTTTGAATTAATTATGGTCATTTGTCATTCAATAAAGAGAGCTGTTGCTTCCCATCATAATGCATAATCGATGCTGAAAACAAAAACAAATATTACTTATATACAACTTTGGCAATGTTTTTGTTTTGCCGTTGAAAAAGCTTATCAATTTAAGATAGCTGGAATTTGCAGTACAGTATTGGAAATAGATTTATAGTAACAAATATAGTTCCACACAGAAGGATGCAAAGTAAACCCTAAAACAGGTTCACCCATAATGCTGTAATGTATTGTTTGTTTACCATTTCAAAGATTGCTAAACACAGTCCACCACTGTATTGTCCTCCTCCTCTGCTCCCCACTCCTCAAACCTCATCTGAGGGGAGGGGGCAGCAGGATGAAGGTTGTTCATGTCATCTATGGGTTCTTGTTGGTCCTCGTTGGTACCAATGCCCATGTCTCTGTGTGTTCGGACATGTTTGCGGAGCGCAGCAGGCTCCTTAAAGGTACGGTTACAGAAGGGGCAGCAGCAGGGCCGTTCACCCGTGTGGATGAGCTGGTGGTGCTTGAGGTGCTGCAGTCGGCTCAGGCGTTTGCCGCAGATGCCGCAAACGTAGGGCTTCTCTCCGGTGTGTGTGCGGCGGTGCTTGCGCAGACCATCCAGGTGCCTGAAGCAGGTGCCACACTCAGAGCAGGAGTAGGGCTTCTCTCCTGTGTGGATGCGCAAGTGAGTCTTCAGAGCTCCAGACTCACGGAACCGCCGCCCACACACACCGCACGGGTACGGCTTCTCCCCTGTGTGGATACGAATGTGTTTTTTCAGACTGGAGATCAGACGGAAAGTCTTGCCACACTCTAAGCAGTGGTGCGGCCGGTCAGCTGAGGGTCCCACTCCTACGCCCACTCCTGAAGGTCCAGCTGTGTCCTCTGCTCGACCTGGAGACAGGCTGGACCCCACTGAAGTTCCTGATACCATTTTCTGGTCACTGAGCCCACCAGGTGGCATGGCAGCATTACAGTCCCGCACAGATCTTTGGAGACGCAGGGGCTGAGGAAAGGAGCGCTGGGAGGCTCCTTCTCCTCCAGTTTGGATGAAGCCATGTTCTGGATTTCTCTGTTCACCTTCCCCACTGGCCTCTTTCCTGTTAGACTGCACTGATGCTGGCACTGGTCTCTGCTCTTCCTTTATCTCAAATCGATGTGCTAATCCTAGTCCTTGGGACTGGCTCTCATCTGAGAAAAATGTATAAAAAAATTACACAATACAGTAACAGAATATTTTTTATAACAATGTGAAAATATGAAAATGTGTTACCAGATCTGGAGTTGGAGCACACATGAGAAGTATTTGATCCAAACGAATCCAGGCTATGATTGGTCACAGATCCATCAGGCTGAATTGAAAGCTGGCACATTTTGTAATCATTATTTGGGCCAAACCCCTGCAGAGACTCAGTGACTGAGCCTCCAAGCCCCAGGTCTGGTCCGCTCACAATCCGTGGATTCTGGGGGTCCCGCTCCATGCTTGAAGCCAGTGAGGTCATGGAGGACAGTGAAGGTGCAAAAACAGACTGGCTGACCACATGTGCACCAGAATAAGAGATCTGTAGTTGATCTATGAGTTTCTGCGCACTGCTCAGACAGTCCTGTAAAGTCTTTAGTTCCCTCTCAGACACCTCCAGACGAACTTTCAGCCTTTCATTCTCCTCCTCCTTGTGCACCAGCTCCAGTTGGGTCTCATTCAGCACTATCACCACTTCACCCAGAAGAGCATCAACCGCGGCGGACATGGCTGTGTGAATGGTCGGTGCCAGTCGAGATTTCAGCGACGTAACAGTCATACTGCCCTGAGTAGCGCCGTATGCAGGTTTTTCTGATTTTCTGTCAAAACAGGACTCTGCCCCAGTTCTGTCAGATATGCTGGTTAGACTTGTTTTTCGGCTCATAGCGCTGTTTATGGATGCATCCATGCTACCAGCAAACCCTGTGCGCCTCGAAGCCATGCTAGCTTTGTTGGCTAAGGCAGTCAGCACGAGTTTCTAAACTGTCCACAACTGAAACATGTGGACTTTAGGTTTGAGTTGTATTGGTCATTAATTGTATCGTTGATTGGTTGAGTCTCTTTAGCTAAAAACGAAAACGATATGGCCATTCCACTGGGCCCAGATGCGATTGCTAACTCCTGTCCAGCAGCATTACGCTTAAAGATTTCAATCTAAAATTCCTTGAGAATATCATACACAGGCTTTGATCGAGTATGTCCTCCCTCTACTGTCCCTATTAAACATGCTGAAACAGAATCGCTTGGCAAACTCACCCGTGTTCCCTGCACCTTCTTTGAACTACAAACCAAAAATCATGTTTGTCGCACAGCAATGACGTCAAATAAAAATTCCCCGTAGAACTGGGCATATAGGTATATATCTTAATTAATATGTAATTAGTACATGAAGTTATGTGTGGTGTTTGTATGTATGTATGTGTATGTGTATGTGTATGTGTATATATATATATATATATATATATATATATATATATATATATATATATATATATATATATATATATATATATATATATATATATATATATATATATATATATATATATATATATATATATATATATATATACATTGTATAGGCTGTAATTGTATAGGCTGCATTCTCCCACATAGACTAAAGATTTTAAAAAATGTTAATGCAAATATTGGTACAGGGGTACAGGGTACAGTCAACTAAAAAAAAATAAAATAACTAAAAAAAAAGTAAAAAAAAGAATAATATAATTATTATTTATTTAGTTTTTATTTGTGGGCTAAACTCTAGGAGGCACTGCTGGCTTTGCTTTTATAGGCTATGTATGTGTAAGTCCTATTGGTTTTCTTCTCATTTTTTCTTCTTTTTATATTTTTATCTGCTTTAAATAACATGTTTTAGTTTCCATTTGCTCTTTAGAGTAACATGAACTCCCTCTGGCTTCTTTCATTTTTATAATTATGGGGGAAATTTTGATGAGGAAAACACAGCCACGCAGCCACAGCAACCCAGGAAAAGTTTTTTTCCTTGCTGAAAATGGGGCAGTTCTTGGTGCAACAAACTGTTTAAGTGTTACCATCTGCCTGACAAGACTGTGTCACAGCTGAAGTATGGGTGACTTCATTTCTCTTCAAGTGGCTCTTTGTCAAATCAGTCAAGTACTGTCACAATACTGAGACAAGTTCTGATTTGGTTTATTTAGTCATCTGTTCCTATCCTAGCTAACAGAAAATAGACATAACAAAATGTTATTATGTAATCAATTTATATAACAGGCACACTATATAGACACATTATACCATACAGAAATACTGGAGTCCTCCACAAGAGCTCCATCTGCTTCACACTTCCACTCCCACGCCCAGGTCTGTAAAATATTCACCCAAAACGTTGAAATAATCAGTAGGTTAGTGGCCCCAGAGTCAGATGGACAACTCCACATTAAATGTTTTTCTTCACCGTAAGTGCTACAGCATGTTCAAGTATTCCTCACAGACTTAATTTAGTCAAAAGAAACTAAAGTCCAACTGTGAACACCTTTAAATTGTTCATTCCAGTGGGCCACACTAGGACAGGCACAATCTTGGTTTTTCCTGGTAACTGTAATTGTTGATACGGTAATGGTATGAATATGTGATGTGTATATTTATTAGTCAGCATTGCACAGTCAGAGCTGAGCTCATTGTTTGGTCAGACATGAAAACAAAATGTTCCATAGTAAAAAAAAAACAAAATTTGGCAATGAAGCTTCTGGGATTTGCACAAAAAGGCTAAGAAACAGAATAATTAAAAGATGATAAGTTGAGAAGTTCTCTGAGATAATATCTAATAATAAAGGTCGGTCAGTCAGTCAGTCTATCTGTCCATCTATCTATCTTTTCTGGTGGGGTGTAGAATAGCTGCTTATCTATATGTTATTGATTATTTTAGAATATGCCACAATATGGCATTAAATCTATATATCTCTGTGGAGAGCAGTGGGTGAAGCTATCAAGCCACGTTACAGGTCAGCAAGCCTGCTCAGTTTGAGCAATAAGGATGTAATTGAATAACTGTAGTTTAATGCTATACTGTGTGACATTCCAGGCGACAAGCAAGTGCCAGAAAACATATACCACTTACCACTTTACTATAATTGTCTCCTGGCTATGAAGCCATCTACTTCTCTATTGCATCTATTGCTTCTTGAAACAGGGTCTCCTTTTCTGTAAAACTCAACAAGTCAAGGCCAGCTCATTACACATATTTAGACAAATCGTTTTCAGTTCATTTGAAGGCCAAAATGTGTGGTCACACATCTCATTCAGGTGAGAGGGAGAGGTTTAGTCGATGACAATATAAGCCATCCGGAACTGCCCGCATCTACAGCTAATGACTAACTTTCAGTTCTACAAAACCTTTAGACCAAACATGCCCATAGTCTTTCACAATTCCCTTTTCCCTAAAAGGAAAACAAGAACTCATTAACACTTGAGACGCACAGTGTCTCACTGTGGCAGACATGTAACATATGATGAATCTGATAGCAATCACATTCACAGTAAGTCATTCATTACTAAGGTATTTCAGAATAGGAAGAAGAGGACTGGCTGGGCTGGGCTGGGTCAGAGAGAGAGAGGGGTGTGTGTGTGTGTGTGTGTGTGTGGGGGGGGGGGGGTTAGGGGAGGGCAGAAAGAAGGAGGTGAATGTTTTGGGGAGAGCAAAAAGCATATAAAGCAGAGACATACTGAGACAGGCAGCAACAAGTGGCAGATAAGCAAGGAAGAACCAAGAAGATCAGACTAGAGTTTCTGTACACAAGAGGTATGTTCATTTTGAAACTCCTCTACTTTCCATCTAAACAGAGCACCTCTTTGTTTAGGTTTCAGTGCAGTCTTTGTGAGTTCTGATACAAGACTCAGTGTAAAGTCCATTCATTTTTTGCATAGCTTTTCTGGTGCTGCCCGCTGAACTAGCCACTAGTTCAGGTATTGTTTTTCTTTAAATATTTCGGAGGGCTTTGGTGTAACGGGATACAGCTGACTGGACTGTGTCATTCGAGGGTGTGTGTGTCGGCATTTTGTTGTGCAATATGGCCTGAATTAGTTACAGCAAAGATTAACACTTTGTACTTAATACGAGTCTATAGTACAGCCTGTGTAGACGTGTAGAGATTTCATTAAGTGAACTGAGAGCTTGTTTGTTGTGGAAAACTCTTCAAACTTTAAGAAAGGATTGGAAAAAGGGTCTATGTTTCTACCAGTGGTAGAAAGAATGCTGAAGATTTGTACTCAAGTAAAAGTATAGTTACATGGCTAATATACTCGAGTAGTGTTGCCAAATTTGTACTTAAGCAAAAGTGTGCATGCTGTTTCCCAATATTAATGTTAAGTTTTAATGCAATTTCAATAGTATTTTTGATTAATCTTTTATATAAAATGTAATTAATTTAACAGTTTAAGACTGAATGAAGTTGCTAGCTGCATATGTTTTGAGCAGAGGATGCAGAGCTGTTAAGTGAAATGTGTACTCACTATCTTCAAGGATTTTAAATGTAGATAATTATAATTACAACATGATTAGAATTACAAGTTTTTAGATTACAAGTAGATGTTTAAAAATCTTCTTTAAAAGTACAAATATTAAAAAACATTCAGTTATAGTAATGAGAGTATCCGTAATTAGTTGCTTCCCATCCATGATTTCTACACTATACTTCTTTCAAGTGTTTTATCAGATGTATCAAAAAGAAATGGTATGTAGTTCAGGTTTTCAGAAATGCTTAAGTCTAACAGAATAAATTGCTGTAAGGGGGTGATACATTCCAAAACTTTTTATGTACAAAACTAAATATGATCCACAAACGGCTGCAAACCCTGGGGTGCGCTATATTCCAACACAATGCAAAAAACTGATTTTCCAGCTCTAACTTATTTTTGTTTTTTTCTCCAGAGAGTGTTATGGCTGCCAAACGAGATCTTCCTTTACCCCTGCTGCTTTTTTGCCTCCTCAAAACCATTAGCTCCTTGCCCATGACATCCCAACCTCCAGAGTTTGGCCCTCTGGATTCTGTAACTCTACTAGGCTCTCCAACTGAAGGTTTTGTGATTGTGCCTGAAGAATATGATGATGTGGATGATTACACCGTCATTTCCACTGTGCCACTGGTACCTACACATGGTGTTTTAGAAAGATGCGACTATAAACCATGTCTTGAAAACCAGCCTTCATGCTACGAGCTGTCAGCCTCTTTTGGATGTTTGTGTCCTGGATTATCTACAAATAAAGTCCCCCCAGAGGCCCCTAATTTGGGATTGGTAACGTTGAACGGATCAGATGTGACAGTTGCGTGGTGTGAACCCCTTTCATACGTCACAGGATACATTGTAACAGTGGGTGGACAAGAAAAATATACATTTAGCAAAGACAAACGCAGTGGTAGTATAGGACAAGTTGATGATGTTGTCCAAGTGTGTGTGAGTGCAGTGAATGACGCAGGGAAAAGCAAAGCGTCTTGTACCATGTACGAGCCCTCAGACAGGAGCTTACCTCTAAAAGTAGGTCTGATTGGCGGAGTGCTGGTTCTGCTGGTGGTGCTGCTGATGGTGGCTCTAATATGGAGGAGGAGAAGGCAGAGGAAGCAGGAGGCTCACATCTCCAGAGCACAGTGAACGGGACAGGATGCTCAAGAGATAAAAGACTGTCCCACGAGACTCATCTCAACCATTAATTAGGGCTTCACGCACACAGGCCATCTGCAAAGGGAGAGTGGTTATCAACAAGATGTCTTTAGAGCTAAATTTGGCATGTAAGTTTACAAAATGTTCTAATGAAGGCACCAATGCTTTCAATCAAATATGTCAAGTTAATGTACTCAACAGAAAAGACTGTACTGTATGCAGGCATTATCTTAGTTGGCTTCATAAAAATACTAGAGTTCGCAAGGATAAAATCAATAATTAAGATGATAAAAAGTAGATGAACCTTTCAACATAATAAGGACAAGAACTTTTATGATATATTCACAGTAACAGAAAAATGGCCAACATTCAGACCCATCTGAATGTAATTTGATTATTATTATCTTTTTAAACTATGGCTGAATATCAGTATAGCTTTGCTTTGGCATATAAGTAATGTTTTTTTTTTAGAGAACCATCACAAAAGAAACTTTTATTCTGTGAACTGAACAAAGGTTTTTTTGGTCCAATTGGCAGAATAAAATTTTCTTTTGCAATAGAACTTACCTGGACGACTGAGACATTACACAGAAATAGATGCAGAGAAATTATATTTACAGTCAGTATTATATGGTCTGTAACTGGGTATTTATAACTGAATTGTGTTATTGATGTTGGCATGTTAAATTTTTCTCTCTGTGAGAGTGACAAGTGTGATGTTAATAAAGATCTCGTTTTTTCTGAAATTATCTTTTTATTTATTGGTTTAAAAGTGGTCTTAAAATGAGATTATGTATTCAGAGAAAGGTTTCATTGAAATAACTGAATAACGCTGACACTGCTTCACGGTAAGAGCACTGTTTAAAGTCTGTCTGAAACTACAGTGAAGCTTTGTCTGTGGATCTCAGAGTGTATTTATTGAGCTCCACCTTTGGAGCAGTTTTTCTTCATCTGTTAAATGTGGAAGTGGTGTCAGCGTCTGCATTGGTTTAGGCCTGTTTTTTCAGCTGTCACACACGCCCAGGCTCTGGAGCGGATGTGCTTTTGCCAAGGCTCCTCTCACTGCGGCTGGAGAAGTTTCCAGTGAGGTTCTGGGCTTTGAGAAAGAAAAGACAGTCCGGTATTTAAATGATGCCAGCATATCGAGCTCTCAGTTTGACTGTCTCGTGGTGGCTCAAGTTTAAATCCTTTAGCTGCTGTTGCACTGCTACTGGCATCTGGTTTACAACACACACACTCTCATTTGGGGTTTGTAATGTGCCAGCACAGCAGGCCGCGCTCTTCTGTCCATGCAATGGCCCTGGGATATGGACAGTAATAACTGTGGAATAAGCGGATAGAATAATTCAATATTAGAACGGTGATGGAGTTTCCGGTTTTAAACCCAACCCTGAGGCAAAATTGTTATAAAGGTTATAAAGTGGTTTAAAACAAAGCATGTATTCAGACAAGATCTATCTTAATAAATAAGCCTTTGTGACAAGTTTGTTTACGCTTTGTACATTTACAAGTACCAAACAAATCCCATAACAATTTAAGCTCTGTTGTTATTGTAGTTTTTCAGTTCTTGTTTTTGAGTTTGTCTAAATTAAATAAATATGTGCAAAAGGGCGTGTGTGTAGCAAGTGCCCATATGTGTCATGGAACATTTGTAAACTGCATTATGTGTCTAACGTACTTAACTTCCAGAAAACAGGCGTGTTAGGTTTTATAAATTATGGTCAGCAGAAATAAATGTTGACAAACTGATCCCCAGAAGAAGTCATGCTGATTCATTGCAGTTAAACTCTTGAGTCATGCAAGGGTCTATGCAGTAGTATGAATCAGCTAAACTTGGACTTTTGGAAGTGTGCACTACATACTTGACACCAGTTAGTGCATTTGGTAATATAGAAAAAACATATAATGAAATTTACATTTTAAAACTCTACTGGCATCACTGTACTGTGCATTATGGCCTATTATGGCCTGCTATAGCCTGCTATAGCCTGCTATCACCTAAGGAAGTGTTGCCCCCTACTGGTCATATCTGGCTGTCCTGAGGTGACAGGAGAAAAAGCTTGAATATACTGTATACACATAAATATATGAAAAGGTCTATATAATGAGGTATTCTGAACTTCTTACGGAAATGGACTGAGGAAAGAAATGCAATTGTAAAGTAGGTTACTTGAAAATACTCTCTATGCAGCTATATTGCAGTAGTGTGGAGTGACTTTAATGGGTAGGACATCAATATTTAGTGGATAACAATTTATTAACTACACTTTTTAAACAAATTACATTACAAATTAAAATATTTATTTTTACCTTATTACCTTATTTATGCAGCTGAGCCTTCATTCCTCTAGCTCTCTTTGTAAGTATTATTATGCATGTAGAAACCATATGAGTGGCATATGACAGCTCTATAATGCACTTACTATACAAAACATACAGTCACCAACAGGACATTGCACTGGTCAGAAAGGTGCATTTATAATACAGCACTGTCACAGACGTCCCCTTAAACACAGCTCTGTGTTTGAACTCGCCTCACAGATGCAAATCAAAATGTCTGAAGAAATGTCCTGGATTTCCCTCAAGCGACAAGAACAGACACATGTTCCTCCACACATGTGTAATAGTCTTGTTATTCCACCAAGGCTGTCACTACTTCATGGACACACAGGTCACAGACGGGCTCCTCTCCACACGCTCTCACTTCACTGCTCCGTCCAGATTCTACATTTCACACAAACTGTATACATATCTTCTTTATACAGTTTATGATTTCACACAAACTAGCCTTGAAACTGGCTCAGTGTTTGACTGCCTGTATTTCAAACTAACATATAATCATTACAAATGCAGCAATATATCATGAGATCAAGGCCACTGCTTTCTTTCGCCTTCACCCGCCGTCATGGACTACAAAGCCCAAACGTATGATGGGAAAAGCAGTCCAATATGTTTTGATGGAACGTGTTGCTCTGCCCCTCAGGAGCATTCCTCCCTCCTCCTTTTTCATCTCATCTATCTACTTTTATATCAACACAGATGCTTAAAGTCAAACTGAAAAGGCCCGGGTGTTGTACAACACAGACACATGATTGATGCATGATCTTGATGAGGCACCCCCAAACACACCCCATGAAACAACAGTTAATCTTTTCTCTGTGATTTTGTAAAATTCAGAAACAAGTCAAGTCTCTCAAGAACAAAAGAAATGTTTATTTTAAAGTACAACAATGCATGCACACCAAAAGAATTAGTTTTTAATGCTTTGCCTGGTAAAATAAAACATTTATTTAATTATTAACAGGAAAAAGCATGTATAGATTCAGGTAATAATTTAAGTTGAACAGGATCATTGCATATATATGGAGTTTATAAAAATGCAATAATGAAGCAAGCAAACAATATTAAACCGGTTTACAAGCAGGAAAAAATTATTCTAAAAACATTTAAAGAGGGCTTAAGATGCAAAATCTGGGGTGAAGTCAGGTAAACTGAGCCATCAGGTAAAATGAGCCACAGAACATTTGAGCCCCCTGGCTTTTTAAATATTCTACCCCCAGTTCATGCAAAGGGTCTTAATTTGTTCTCTTCTGTATTTGACAAAAACAAAACATTTGATTGGTGTGTGATGGCTATTGTGGGACGAACCACACTTCAGCCTCAGCAGAGCACAACACTGATTGGCAGGAATATCCAACGTGAAAATGATAAGGTTTATAAATAAATAATAATGAATTTATAGCTACTTCAGTTGTAATACGTGTAGTGGCTGTGTTTACCCATACATGTAATTTAGTCTGTCTAACCTATAGTTTTAAAAATTAAAAATAATAGTGGCTCACTTTGCCTTAAAGTCTTCAGGGAAATTATGCCCAGCCTTTCAGCTAAAATGGGCCACCATCAGATATAATTTTTTGCTTATATTTTGATGGTTCTAATTCTTAAATAGCTTTATTGTAAATGTATTGTAAATATATGAATTTGTAATTACTTCATATTGAAGCTTCATCCTCCTCTTTAAATTTAGGGTTCTGGCTGGGCCTTGATCATCATTGTCTCTGCGTCTCTTTGCTGGCATCTAAATCAATCAACTGTAATTAGTGTTAGCTTATTAGTGCACAGATCTTTAAAGCAGCAGTTCTCAAACATTTCACACCAATTACCACCAAGATCATATTTGAATTTCTGAGTCTCACCAGATTTAAACCCAGACTTGATCAGGCCTTAATTAGGTCTTAAATTATATATTGCACAAAATTGTGATCTTTAAGCCATGTAATGCTAGCTGTAAGCACTGGTTTATCTGAGGCTTGTTAAACATTTTAATTTGAGCTTTATTTAAACATAATCTGACACCTAGACAGGATCATAAATTCTCATATTGATCACAGGCTCCTGAAAATGTGTTTAAATCATTGTCTGTGTTTTCTTGTGTTTTCATCTTAAAATAAGTTAATGCTAACGGACATGAACATTCTGCCATAAAGATGTATGTAGAACACCCCCAAAATGATGTCACTGCAAAGTATCAGTAGTCTTTATTGTGAAAATGAGCAGAAAAGACAATTGTACCTTGAACATTGCGAGAGGTCGGACAAGTTGCAGAAGATGTAAAGCTCCTAGGTGAGGGCAGGACCTCTGGGATTGGCCCCTCATGGTCTTCGTCATATTCTGAGTATAAAGGCGTTGTTCACCTTTTTCTCCAGTAGGGGGCTGGGATGAGGATTTTAGGGATATTAGGAGCGTGGGTCCCACCACAGCCTGAGTAGGGCCATGGAGGAGAAAGGCTAGGAAAATGAATGGATAAAAAGAAAAATCATCAGGACTGGACTTGACTGACAGATGAAGTTTGTTTACTTGTTGGATTTTGTGTCATTTTGTATGTATGTGATGAGTTTGGAGAGAGAGGTGGGGTGTGGGAGTGTTTTTTTTGTTTGTTTGTTTTTATTATGTAAATATCATAACTGAAATAAATAAATAAATAAATAAAGTACAAATAAAAAACAGAAATCGCCATCTGGCCACTCGGGTTCTTCTATGCTTCTTTAGAGGTGGTCATCTGAGAAGACCTGCCCCCAGACTATTTCACAGCCATTGTGGAGCTGCTCACCTGAGAAGAAACAGAACAATTAAAATTAAACCATCTTGAATCATGTGCAGGCCTATCCTTATCCTCTTATCTTTGTCTAATCTACTCACATTTTACTAAAAATCAGTTAACATTTAAAAAAAAATGTATGAAGTAAGAATTCAGTTTTGTGATCTACTTGAGCCACTGTCGCCCATGATAATAATACTCAACAAAAACAGTGTGTGAGTGTGTTAACCTCTATTCAAGTGTGTTTTCTTTCTGATTTTAACTATTTACCTACAAATGCCACAAGAACACTTAACATTTTTACATCCTCCCAAGTTCACGCTCTGTCCTTGAGGACATTGAAAGTGGTTGAGGTTGTTGTCATGATCTGGCCCACGGCAAACTGCACACCAAATGTGGAGGTGGTCACTTGAAGAGAAACAGATTAATTAAAATTAAATCATCTTATCATAGTAAACCAAAAATCATGTGTTTTTACATACCTCTTGGCACATTCACCTGGGTTCTTGGTCCAAATGATGCTCTTGGAAGTTATCGCCAGGTGGCCCATAGCAAACTGCCCCCACCTCACCTGAAAAGAAACAGAACAATTAAAGTAAACCATCTCATCATAGTGTTAGTCTATCCTTATCCGCTTATCCTTGTCTA